AAGTAATAGGTTCCAAGCAATAGCTTCAGTGATCTTTTAAAATAAATTTGGCTGTAGTCTAACAGTCTGAGCATAAAATTCAGAACTGGGAGCTCCTGAGGTCCATTTCTTGGTCCTATTGCCAACTTTCTGTTTAGTTTTCTCTTTCTGTCCTGCTTTAGGTTATGATCTCTTCAGGGCATAAGTTTCTCTGCATGTAGTTACACAACATCTAGTTGCATTGGGCCCTGATCATAATGGGAGGCTTTTGGTAATACAACAATGAACATAATAAAAATGTTCATAATAAGTAGTCCAGTAATAATGATTACTTCCTGCAAGTTGCTGCCCAAATTCTGTTTTCACTTATGCTGGTGGAAATACAGAGAGTCCAGATCGTTACTGGTATAACTGAGTAAAATATGACCTTAAATTTGCCATGTACAAGATCAGAGTAGTACTTACTTGGCTTGTTCATGCTGATGCCAGTTAATTTATGTTCAGTACCTTAGTGTTAAGAATTGTAAAATGTTATGTCATGGCAGCCATATTTTCAACAGAATTATCTGTTGGCTTCAGTTGGCTTTTGTTTTTTAAAGAAGACACCACCCTATCATTCAAGGAAAACCATAAACAGTCCATTCATTGCACCACTGCCTTCCATAGATGGTTAATGTAGGCTACTGCTTCAAGTTGAAACAATAAGCAGAGTGATTTGATGATCACAACTTGGGAATTTAGAAAATACATGAGTAACTTCACAAAGGAAATATTTTTGCCATTTTCAGCTATTCCAGAGATCCTTTCCAAATAGTTGACACACTGAATCATAGTAGAAGTAGGGCCTGAGTCAGAAGTCATTAGGGCTAAGGACAGACATTACACATAAACTGGTTTAAGTGATCAGAAACTGGTTTAAACCTATAACAAAACAGATGTTCAGTGCACATAAACTAGTTTGAAAATGGCTGAAACCAGTTTGAGATAAACCTGGTTGAATGTAGTATCAGACTTAACTGATTTGGGTCAAACCGGTTTATGCAATGTCAGTCCCAGACCCCTTCCTGGTTTAACTTAAACCAGAGTCCCCCAGCATCCCAGATTGCAACCCTGGCTGTGGCTCTGTGCTCTCTGTTTCCTGGCTGGAGCTCTGGCAGAGACAGCAGGAACATCAGCACCTGCCTGGCTTCTCCCTGCTCCCTTCCCCACACCACTCCCTGCTCAAGAAGGGATTTCCCCCTCCCCTCTGCCTTACACAGACACCTCTCCGGATTAGCTTCCATACCATATGCTGGCTACAGTCTGTGCTGTGCCAGACAGGACAAAGACAGACAGGACTGTGTCCACTTATGGCTTCCTGGAGCTAATCAACAGATAGCTGGTAACATCCCTCTGTTCCTTCCATGGGAAAAGTTGTTTAAGAAAAGCTTGAACTAATGAGAGAAGCTTTGTTTTGTTTGACAGGCTGATAAATGCTAATAAATCCCTGTGTAACTGTGCTGTGTAACTAAATGCTCTGTTATCAATGGTGAGGGGGGGAACCCCTTCCTAGTCTGAGCATCCTGCCAGGGCCTGGCCATGCTCCCCCCCCAGCTCAGCACTGTGCAAGGGAAGGGAGGGCTGCTGTAGCATCCCCCAGCTTCTAGCCTGAGCCACTGCCAGCATGTGCCTGCATTTCTTCGGTCCAGGGCAGATGTCTTCCATTTAATAACCAGTTCAGCCTAGCTAGGTTAGACTAACCTGAAAAGATTGAATCAATTCAAGCTCAAGCTTTTTGAATGTCTGTCCCTAGCTTAGCAGTGTAATTCCATTGACTTCAGTAGACACTCCAGATTTACACAAGCAAATGGGGGGCCAAAGGATTGGGAGAGTTTACAGTAGTCCCACAAAGTAGATCGCTGCATTTCAAAAGCAGTGTGTGATATTTTTATCTTTGAAAAAGAATACATTAGTTGAAACAGAATTGTTTTTCATGCTAAACATGCTGTAGTCAATGCAACACATTGATGTTTGGCAGAAGGCAGGGTAGAGATACCAGACCAACTGAATGTTTGGTTTACCTGTAGGCTGTGAAACAGACATTCCTCCCTTTTGACAGGGAACTGAGACAGTCGTGTAACAATGTGGGGGACAAGGAAAATACAAGTCGCTGGCACTGCATAAGTGTGTGTGTGTAGGGCAGAACTGAAGCAAGAATGATGCATCACCTTCCATTCCACCCTCCCCACCATTGGCACTTTCCTTGCAATGACTCTGATTCAGTCAGTAGGGAGTGAGAGTTATGATGGTGATGTACCTTGCAGGAACTGTAGCGGGATGTACCAAGGAAGAAGTCACCTCCTTTTTTGCTGCTGAAAGCCAGTGTTTTCTTGGCTGCTCAATATGTATATTGGCAGCAAAAAAAGATGACATCTCCCACAGTGCAGAGAACCACTGTCTACCCACTTCTACTGCTTCTCTACTGTCCCTGCTGTTGGAGCTGGAGCCAGGGCCATTGCAGGGAAGATGCAGGGTACAGGGGGTTTAGTAGTGCCCAAGACTCAGTACTGCCCAGTTATGCTTCTGCTCAAAGGCTGTATCAGTTGCACCCACAGTACTGAAAATAAAATAAATATAGAGGTCTGAGTGTGCATACATTTCAGAACTGTGTAGGCTATTTCTAACTCCCTGAGAAGATGGGACTGTGCTCTAACTTCTTGATTGGGATAGACACACATAAAGAGATAGATCTTGCATCATTTTCTAAAAGTAATTGTGATCCAAATGTGAAGTTTAAAAGAATTTTGTGTTTGTGTGTAAGTCAGAATGTTGGTACTAGAAACAAAAGTCTTCTGCACACTGAAGAAATGCAGCACATCCAGGAAGAGTACAAGCTTTCCTGTTCTGGGTATGGTGGAACTCAGTTAATACGTGCTCAACCCAGCAAGAGGTTGTATAGAGAATAGTGAAAGCATATGCATCTGATAAAACAATAGGGTTTTGTGAATAGTAATATCAGTTATAAAAACCATGAAAATAAAAACAGGCATCTGTATGTCTGTTATCACACACAGAGGAGATATATCGGGTGCCTCTCAAATCCAGTCTTTTTAAAATTATTATAGATGTCCCCTCTTCAACAAAATATACCTATCTGGAGATTTTACAGAAGAATTAGTACGTCTTCTGGACAATTATGTATGACATGGTCAGTTACCTCTGTTTTATTTTGTGCGTTAGAGGTCCATTCTATATCATTGGAGAGCCTTACTGCCATATATTTCAGATTAGATTCTGCTTGGCATGCATTTTAGGGACTGAGTTATTTATCAGTGTGTAAACAGGCATCAGTGAAGCAACACACATCACAGGAAAACAACAAGCTCTTGCTGGTCAAATTCCTCTTGTATTTTTCTCTGTATTCCATCAGTCAACAACACTGCTCTAAATATTTGTTGTGAAATACACACCTTTCTATATACATCCTTGTGTTGCCAAACAGCAAACCATAAATCTAGCTGAAACCAGAAGGCTGCTAAGGCTCAAATACACACTTGAAATATAATTATAAGCATTTTTAAAAGACCAAATAGAGGATAGTTGCTTTTTTATTAATACATCCTATCATTAGTCATTTTCTTCTTAAAAGGGATAATTATAACCTGTACACCTAAGAGTTCACAGCTTGTTTCATTAGGCCAAAAGCTTTTGAAGGTTAAATTTTGAGCTTGTTTTTCTTTGAAGGACAAGTATGGAGCTGTATTGCCTAAAGTGAGGGATTCAGTCTACCTACAGCTATAGGAAGAATCGGCTGTAGAAGACAGGAGCAGGAGCTGCTGGCTGACAGTAAAAGGTGGCTAGGTTGATTGCTGTGGAGGAAGTTAGGGTGGAAACAAACATCACCTTTGTGTCGTCATAAACATTTTTATGGTGGCACAAAGCAAAAGCATATAGACGTCCATACTCTTTGCCATGACGCAGTGTGATCATAATAATTATTTAATAGTAATAATTATTTATGCCACTTTATTGCAGGGGATGTCTATTTGTTTTGTGTTGGGAAAATATAGGCAAGTGAGCTGGCCACACTTTCCAGCTGCACCAGGCAGGTGCTCTTGGGGCTTGGTTCTGCATGTCCTGGGAATTCCCATGCAGGATCAGGCCCCTCAAGCCTCAGGACTGCCTGCTCAGGTTTCCTTATGTCCAGAGACACACCCCTAGGATTTCCAAGGCATGGCTCTGGAAGCAGGAAATATCAGGATTCCCTGCTTCCAGGGATGCACCATGGAGAGATTGCCTAGGTGCGTCTCAGGAAGGGGAGAGCATGCCACCCATTGTCCCATAAGATCAATGGGTGGGATACCAGACAATGTTTTTCTTCACCCAGAGAAATGAATCAGCTGTGCTGGGACATGTCCCAGCACAACTGTTCCCCTTTATTTGGTGATATCTATTTGGTGATGCCTTAGAGATAAATCCTTTTTAAGCTGTCTGAACAGAGAAGCAACCAATCCCCTCCCCTATTCATGCTTGTACCCATGTTACAGTTCTGTTTAGAGGAAGTAGAGCTTTCAGCCAGCTGACAAGTCCCACTCATTCATCAAAATACTTAAAACACTGGTGATGACAGTGATTTGCTGGGTGGGAAGTCTGAAGGTTAAGTATGTGGGTGATGACAAAACGTGATTGGATTGACAAGGGTTGCACACTACATGGTGGGACAGGCTCATGAGGGTTTCACCAACTAGCAGGTGAAAATGTGCTGGGGAAGGAGGACCAATAACAGCAACTTCTAAAGGAGTCTGCAGTGTCAGACCCAAAGTTTCTGAGTCACTTTAAAAAAAATGTGGGCCTAAATATATTTTTCTCCTCAGGTCAAAATGTACAAATGGTGGAGAATATGTATTCCTAAGAGTTGAGGGAAAGAGAAAAGAGGGCAGGGCAGAAACAGGGTGCTCTCTTTTTCTTTTCCTTTTTTTTATTGTCCTTATTTTATCATTATTCTTTCAATAATTTATTGTGTTCTTATTTATTGCATGTAGTGAAAATCCTACAAAGGCATTCATCCTTTGAAGATTGCATAAGGCTAATCAAAATGTGGACTGCTGTGGGTAACTACCTATTAAGGTCCAAAGTCTATCAAGACTGTCCACGTGTTTCGCTGCTAATACAGAAGAGCAGGAGTATTATAACAAGATCCACACCCTTGCAGCATTCAGCTGGAGTAGTTCAAGCAGCTCAGCCTTTCAACATGAATGCAAGAATTCAGAAAGTGGAAGCTCTTGATGCCAATCATTTTGTCTGTATCCACTGGGAAGACGGGGGCAAGAGCCTTTACCCTTCTGTGTGGCTAAGAGACAACTGCCAGTGTCCTGACTGCTTCTTGCACTCTGCTAAAGCCCGCAAACTGCCTTTTGAAGACCTAGATGTTGACATTGGGGTGAAGGGCATCACTTTGACAGATAGAAAAAAGGTATTTTTTTAAATATATTTTACTCTTAAATGGTTTGTATATAATAATACAGTGCTTGCTAATTTTTAATTAGCAATAGACAGTAAAACTGCAACATGAATGTCAGGATATGCCCCACTCATGCTATCCACAGATCTCAGTGCTATACTGCATTTCTGTGGGATGTTTAGAAACTATTGTCATTTGAGCAATCCAAATACAAGATCTTAATCTTTCTTACTCTAGTAAGTTTTAACGATGGAAAACAGAAAACCAGATTTCTGCTTTTAGATAGTATAAAATGATTTTCCTCCTACTTGTACTCCTTTGCCATCAGAAGTTGGTGGGCTGATAGAACTGAAGACTCATTCTCCTAGTTTCTCATTTCCCTAAGCCCACCCTCCCTCTGTGTTTGTCTCCTTAACTTATAACCTCCCCCCACCAACCTTTGCTCCTTTATGGAATCACAGAGAAAAAATAGTCTAGTAGCCTATATACTGACTTTCTGATCAGTTTATGGTGTTAACTATTTAACCAGGGAGTTAATGGCATGTTCATACCCCACCCCCACCTTACTGGCCACCACAATTGGGTTTTTAGTGTAAAACTGACAACAGGGGGAAAAGGAAGAGGTAAGCAGAAGCAGCATTAACTCCCTGAGTTCTGGAGCAACTCTGAAATGACAGGATTAATACCAAGGTTTGAGGGTCATGCAGCCTGTGAGAAGCACCATGGTCCAGATCCAGCCCATGGGGCCCAACAAGTTTGATACCCCTGGTTTATATGGTTTGCCAAAGGTAACAGAAAAAATCCATGGAAGCACTAGGGCCAATGCTGAGGAATTTCTGGTTCCATGCTCTAAATTTTAGTGCTGTTATCTTTCTGAATTGTATTAAGTAAATTCCTATTTTAGCAGAAAGAAATGAGGTGCTATGAGATGCTAAGTGTATCAAGACCAGGGATTATATCTTTCTCTGTGTACTGCATGGCACAATGGGACGCCAATCCTAATTGAAGCTACTGAGTGCTACCAAAATACAAATTCATAATGGAGGTCAGTCACTGGCAGAGTCTGACCATTCAGCATATAGTGAACACAATTAGCTGCAATCAAGAGCACCAAAACAAAAAAGGCATGTAAACACGTTGGCTAGGGACAGAAATTAAATATAAACCAGTATAAGTGATCGGAAGCTGGTTCATATCATTAACATGACAGAAGTTCAGTGCACTTAAACCACTTTCAAAATGGCTGAAACTGGTTTAAGAGAAACCTGGATGGATGTAGTATCATACTTAACTGATTTAAGTTAAATTGATTTCTTGAACTTCTGTCCCAGATCCCCTCCACATTCAAATTAATTCACAGTCCTCCAGCATCCCAGGAGGCTTTGTACCTCCCCACAAACCCCCCACTCACAGGACGAGAGGGCTAGCCTTGGCCCAAGCTGCCTGTTCCAGCTGAGCTGGGGGCATGCTGTAGCACCCCACAGTTTCTGGCCTGGGCCACTGCAAGCATGTGGCTATATTTCCAGAATCAAAAGTGAATGTCTGTTCACTTGCTTATCGGTTCAATCTATGCAGCTTAGACTAACCTTCAAAGATTGAATTGATTCAGCCGCGGGCTTTTTGACTGTCTGTACTTAGCCTTTTAGAGAACTTGACACTTACAAATGAATAGTGTATATTTTAATTTTTCTCCCTTCCAGTCATCTTTTTCTCATCTTTCTCCTTCACTTCCTTGAAGTTGTCCCCATACTTCCCAAGTTGTTGTCATTCTCTTCCAACCTTTTCCTCATTGTCACACCTCATTAAAGCTTCTTCCCATTCACAGCATATTTGTTAAGCAGAGCATCCAGAATGAAGGCATCTAGCACAAGTCAGTGAATTCTATCACTTTTCCACTCTGTTGCTTTAAAAACTGATTTTTTTTTTAAAAGAGGGTTGGGGGGGAATGTGGCTGGTGCTCAGTTGAGCTTTTGAAAGTATTTGTAGTTGTTAAGTCAGCAGAAGTTGCCAGGAAGAGGCAAATAATTCCAATATATCTGATGACACATTTAATTCCTATTTCTAGGAGTCTGACTACATTTATATATTTTTGGGACTATTTCAGGTAGATCTTATTGATGATCTCATTCTTAATGCAGTTTATTTTATTGTATAAGGTGTATATTATATGGCCAAATGAACACACCAGTGAATTTGAGGCTGAATGGTTGAAGAAAAGGTGCTTTTCTGAACAAGCCAGAGCAAAAATGCGGGAAGAATTATTTTTGCCAGGTAGGAATCAAAACCAAATATATTATGCGTTTCTCAGAATGATATAGGCTATTACATATCTGAAGGACAGTGAATATATATGCTGCCCTTGTCTTATTTTTACGGAAAATTGAAATCCTAAAGGAATTCTAGTTGCAATGAAAAGGGTCATTTTATGCATTTATTTCTTTTTGTTTATTAATTAGTAACTGGCTCACCCACCAAAGATCCTATGCTAATGTTCAGGTCAAGTTCTCTTTATGTTGTGATGTCCAGCATTTGAATGTCACTCTTTAATGATGTGGTTATTATTCTCTCAAGAAAATAACTTCTGTGTCATGCTATAAAACATCATTCACACTTCTGTTGACATACTTGATGAAACTGGGATAGGTGCCCTGAGGGGCACCTATCCACGTGGTTCAACACGTTCTGATTAATCGAGTCTGCTGGAGCACTGTAATCAGAACATGTAGTGTGCTGCAGCATCTCATGTGTTCAGCATTCCCGTGCTTCATAATGGCAGCAGAGGTGCTTTAACTGATGCTCATTGAATAAACTTTAGTTAAAGGAGTCCTGCCACCATTTTGAAATACAGGACATTGAATCCATGAAATGCTGTGGGTATTTTCATTAGAGCAGCTCCCGAGAAGCACTCTAATTAAAAGGCACTCCCCACTAGCCCAGAGCATATGTAAAAGTGCCCTCAGTGACCACCGTTCCCTCTAAGCTACGCAGTGTGCGTGGCCACACAGGCACGCTCATGCCACGCTGCCAGGCACCTGTGCGGCCATGCACACCATGCAGCTTAGAGGGAACACTGTCAGGGACCACCCACAATAACTTTAGAGCACTGGGTTTGTCACAGTGCATGAATGCACCCATGAATGCCACGTGCCCCTGGAAGCTGGGGGGGGCACAATGAGCTCCCACATGTGGCAGCAGTACTGGCAGAGGCACGAGTGTGGCAGCAGTAAGTGGAGAGCTGCCACAGGCAGCTGCAGTGCTGTCGGGAGGGGGGGATGGCAAGCGCTGACCGACAACCTGCGACCACCCACAGATGCTGCTGGTGGTGTTGGCAGCAGGGGTGGGGAGGTGAGCGGTGACTGCCCACCAGCGCTGCCGGCAGTGTCGGTGGCGCCTTTTCATAGGGGGTGCACCACCATGCTTAGGGGGTGCATGTGCACCCGTGTGCACCCGCTACGCACCTTAACATCACTTTTTTCCTTGCCTGTTCTGTGTCTTTTAGTATAGAAAGTATTGAAGCTGACAAGAATTTTACTGTCACCTGTGATGATATCTCTTTGCAATAGTTCTGATCTATGGGAAAAGGGACTGGAATTGCATTAAGCATTAAGATGTATCAGTTACAAGGGGATTTTGCTGTATAAGAAAAGCAAACAAGATAGACCCGAGCTGAGAAATTCATCTCCGGATATGAATTGTCTCAAAATTTAGCAGATCAAAGGGTTGGTTGAGACATCTTTCTAAAACCAACTTAAGTAAAACTTTTGGAAGTTTTTAAACAATCATAGGAAGAAGGAAGGTGGTTTTGTTTAATTTTATTTTAGACAAATAGGGAAAAAAGAAAACAGCAAAGCATATGGGGCTTTAATATCTTCTGAATCAGACCTCTGTTCATCACAGAAGAGTGAGAATCAGGGAAACAGTCACAACTGGTTCTGTACGGTGGGTACACAAGAGTACTCTAATAGAGATCCTTTCCTTTCCATTAAATATCCCCTATATTGGAGTGGGGTGGAACAGCAGACGCAGGATCCCTCTCTGTCAGCTGTCTCTATCATCTGAGAGCCCCTCCAATCCCCCACCAGCAATAGAGTTCTCAGAAAGCTGTATATGGCAAAAATCCAGGTCATGGGGTCAATTGAATGATACAATGTGTCTGGCTCAAAATTGAGATTCTGGCCTATGTTGCAAAAGTATACCAAAACAACCAATGAATGCAGACACATTCTTGTTTGCGATTAGTTAGCAATAACAATTGCTGCAGGCAGATGGCCTAGTCAGGAAAACAAAACAAACTTCATTTTCTCATAATAGGTCCAATTTTTGTTTTCTGATGGGACATTTTCTCCTTGTCCTTTTGTCTGTACAGGTTTTAGATAGAACAAAGCAAACATTTTGAATATATTCATCCCCCATAGCTTAGGAAAATTTTATTTGCACTTTCTTTATAAGACAGTTTCAAGCATATACTAGCCCCTGGCAGCTGCAGATTGGGCAGCGGGGAGCTGTGTCCTGGACCCAGAGGCTGCCCCTAACTCATACCCCACAAATGCCTAGCTCCAGAATTGGGACTGTCCAGGGCCAATGCCAGCAATCAGAAATTTTTTGGCATTGGCCTCAGGCAGCCCTGGGTCCATTTTGAGATGTGGGGCTGCCTGATGCTGATGCCAACAATCAGCTAATTGTCAGCATTGGCTGGGCGGTCCTGGGTTTGGGACATATGCCTTGCATTCAATTTGAAGTGCCATACAAACTAGCCATAAGCTGTTCTCCATTATATATGGAACACTTTTGGATCTTGTTTGCTATTTTGTGGTGCCATAATTTGGTTGATATCTGACTTGGTGCAATTTACAGCACGATTAACATGTTCAGCACACTATAAATGCAATATTTGCCAGGACCTTATGATACTGAGTCTTGGTGAGGTCTAAGATTTTGCTTGCTTAGTTTTCAATCACCTGATCAAAGACAAACACTGTGGACCTCTGGACATTTTGTTATATTTGCACCTGAGATCAACCCAACCCAATCAAAACTTTCACAGCCTGATTTTTAAATCAACCAATGCACTCAACAATGTCATACATTATCTTCTTTCACAAGAGAGTGCATATAAGTTTTGTTCATTCCTGCTCCTTCCCTGTGTCTTTCTCAAACTTTTTGTTCTTTTTTACAGTATTTTACTCAAATACAGTAAAATAGCCTAAAAAATTTTTTATCTTAATAAACGAACATCTCCTTGTATACACATAATAACCTGTTTTGACTCAAAAGCTGTGGTGCAAAATCTGCCCATACAGATATTTTCATTCACTTCAGTAGACTCTTGGTCAAGTCATTACAAATTTTCAGAATGGGAAGACCATCTGCTAGAAGTTAACCTCTTGTTTTGCCATAGAAAATAAGTCTAGTTTCTCTTCTGTTTTCAGGAACTATTGCATCTTCCCAAGAACCACAGGCACAGGTAACCTAAGTCTGTGAAAAAATGGCAGCCATTTATGCAGCACTGATCCTCCTAAAGAGGTTGAATGCTTGGGCTGGGCAGGTTTTCAACAGTGACTGGATAGTCAGACATTAACAACTGATCGTTTTTCCTAATTTTATCCATGGGCAAACATGTCTTGTACATTCATCTCACACTGAAGCCCAAACCAGTCTCTGATTAACCACCCAATATTCTACCCCAAACTCATTTTCAACTTAAAGAAAGTACCTAAAATCCATACCTTAGGTGTCATGAAACATTTATGAAAATTATTTGGACAGGAAGCTATTTATCTGAATAGGAAGTTTCCAAGATATTTTTGTAGACTTTGGCCACTGTGTATAAACTAGATACCATTTTATTCAATGTCAAAGAGAATTAATAAAGTTCTCTGCAGCAGAGGATTTTAGATCTTATTGTACCAAGCCAAAGGTAGAATTGATACCTGGCCTATGATTTTCCCAGTACAGAAGTCTGTTTTCAGTTACCTGAGATATACTATAGCTGCTGTGTGCTGTTATGTACACACATTTACATTGCACAAGACATGGAACTTGGTATCGAAATATAATGCTTTCTGTAGAAGACCAGTTCTGCAGTCCTTTTTTGATCAGGCCCCACTCCAAAAAAATCTAAAACTGTTTATAAAGGTTTCTAAATAAAGTTGTATAAATAATTAAATAATTGTATTGATAGAGACAATGACACTGACCAATGAGCTGACTTTATGTTGCTTTGTGGAATAGAAGAATGCGGGGCAGATTTACACCTTTCAGAGCCCCTGTACAGATTCAGGTAAAGCATGGTGGGATCTAATGCATGATCCACACAGTCGCACCTCCTGCTATAAGGCGTGATTGTGGGGTCACTCATTAGATTCCATTGTGCTTTATTTCCAGTTCAGGGGAAGCCTAATCCTGGGCTCACGCTATACCAGCTAGAAGCAGGCTGCTGTGGCTGGAAGCCCCCATACACCCCCATGTCTGGGAGATCACAGCTGCTGTGTTCTCCCAGCCATGGGGCACCCCACATACCCCCATGACTGGGAGGTCATAGCAGCTGTGGTCTCCCAGCCGTGAGGTGTCACCTAGGGCTGAGAGATTACAACAGCTGTGATCTTCCAGCCATGGGGGGCACTCCACACACCCCCATGGCTGGGAGACTGCAGCTACTACAGTGTCCCAGCTGCAGGGCACCCCACACACCCCTGAGATTGGGAGATCACAGCAGCACCCTGCTGCTGGGATTCAGAGTCTGCAACTGCCAGGTGTTGCTGGGGCTGAGAGTGCCCTCTGCTGTGGGACCCCAAGCCTCTGTTGGACATAGTGCACCCCTGTGGCTGGGAGCCTGGTCAGCTGACAGGGCCCCCAGCCGCAGGAGTAGACCTTGCTACATGTGTGAATTAAAGCCGGATAGAAATCAACTATTAAGTTATTACACATTTTCCAGCAATAACTTTATAACTGGTTGGAATTTTTTATGGCATGATAGTTAATTTGTATATGTCTAAATTAATTGTGCAGTTAACCTGGTAATTAAATTAATTGTGCAATTAACCTGGTAATTGTGTGATACCGGTAATGTGTAGAAAGAGCCATAAGCTCACTCAATGAGATGTATATGCTTTTGTAAGCAGCAGCTTGCTTCATCAGACTGCAAAGGCATGTTTTCGTAATGTCGTTCTGCACTTCAGGCTGTTCTAGGATAGGAGACGGTGAGTTACAACTACTAGCTTATTTTCATGTTTCTCACATTCGCAAATTGAGGCTTTCCTTACAAAATAATG